TCGAGGTTACTGGTGACTCTGGTGCTGCTGCGGGTGCTGAGCCTGGGGGTGCTGACTCTGGGGGTGCTGTGCGCGGGGGTGCTGAGCCTGGGGGTGCTACTGCTGGGGGTGCTGGGCCTGAGGGTGCTACTGCGGAGGGTGCGGAGCCTGGGGGTGCTGAGCCGGGGGGTGCTGTGCCTGGAGGTGCTGGGTCTGGGGGTGCTGGGTCGGGAGCTGCTGAGCCTGGGGGTGCTGCGTCTGGAGCTGCTGAGCCCGGAGTTTCTCCTGCTGCTGCGTCTCGCCGGGAGCCCCTCTCTCCACAGGAGCTGCGCGAGTGGTTCGCTCGCCGCTGGAGGCGTGCTGCTGAGTCTGGAGGTGCTGCTGGAGCTGGAGCCGGAGCTTCTTCGACCGTCGAGGGTGCGGGTGCTGCCGGTCCCGGAGCTCCTGGACCTGCGGGTCCTCCTGGAGCTGGAGCTGCTGAGGGCGTCGGTGCTGAGCCTACTGCTGTTGGTCCTGCCGCTGGAGGTGTGGGTGGCGCTGGTGCTGTCGCTGAGGGTGCTGGTGCTGTCCCTGCTGCGTCTGGAGCTGCTGAGCCTGGGGTTTCTCCTGCTGCTGCGTCTCGCCGGGAGCCCCTCTCTCCACAGGAGCTGCGCGAGTGGTACGCTCGCCGCTGGAGGCGTGCTGCTGAGTCTGGAGGTGCTGCTGGAGCTGGAGCTGGAGCTTCTTCGACCGTCGAGGGTGCGGGTGCTGCCGGTTCCGGAGCTGCTGGACCTGCGGGTCCTCCTGGAGCTGGAGGTGCTGAGGGCGTTGGTGCTGAGCCTACTGCTGTTGGTCCTGCCGCTGGAGGTGTGGGTGGCGCTGGTGCTGTCGCTGCGGGTACTGGTGCTGTCCCTGCTGAGTCTGGAGCTGCCGCGCGGCCTCGGCCGTACTTCGTTCCGCTCCTACAGCAGGTTCTTGGTCTTTCTCCTTCGGTAGAGTGTCCACAGCCTGTCCAGTCGCAGTCACTGTTGGAGCCTTCCTCTCCTCTGCCTGCTCCCTCTCCTTACACTGGTCCTACTGGAGGTCTTGCTGAGCGTCGTGAGCCTGCGTCTCGTCCCGCGTCGCCTGTTCGTGCTGCTCGCGCTAGTGGTCGCGGTTCACGTCAGCGTCCTCCTCCTGTCCCTGGCACGCACCGGATGTCTCTGCGTCCGTCCACTGCTCCTCTGCGTGCCCCTTTGCCTTCTCCTCCTGAGTCCTCTCTTCCTGCGCTTGCCGACCCTGAGTCGGACTCTCTTCGCGCTGCCAGTCCTACTGTCACGCGTCTGCTTGCTACTGTCGTCACTGACCCCTCTTTTGAGTCCACTGCTGCGTCTGCTCTAGTCGCTGAGCTCGTTGACTTTGCTGCTCGCTGTCGTCTCGACTACGCTGCTGGTCTTGTTACTGAGTCTGCGTCTGTCTGTCCTCCGTCCGTCGGGGGTGAGTGTGCTCTTGGCACGGACGTCCTAGAGGACAGACAGGAGGAGTTACAGTGTCTAGCGGCTGCTTCACCTCATCTCGCGTCTGTACTGCTTGCCCCTGAGGGAGACCCGGATGCACTAGACATCCCGACTCCGCGTTCTTACGCGGAGGCCGTAGAGGGTCCCTACTCCTCTCAGTGGCAGGCAGCTATGGATGCAGAGATGGCTTCCTGGAAGTCCACAGGCACCTACGTTGACGCAGTTCCCCCTCCTGGGGCGAACATCGTCAGTGGCATGTGGATCTTCCGGGTGAAGCGGCCGCCGGGCTCTCCACCTGTCTTCAAGGCGCGGTACGTTGCTCGTGGCTTCAGTCAGCGGCAGGGAGTTGACTACTTTCAGACCTTCTCTCCCACCCCGAAGATGACCACTCTTCGGGTGCTGCTGCACATAGCCGCTCAGCGCGACTACGAGCTTCACTCTCTTGACTTCAGCACTGCGTTCCTGCAGGGTAGCCTGCACGAGGAGATCTGGCTGCGCCGTCCACCTGGCTTCACTGGGACTTTCCCTCTTGGCACCCAGTGGAGCCTCCGACGGCCAGTCTACGGTCTCCGCCAGGCACCACGTGAGTGGCACGACACACTGAGGACTACGCTTGCGGCTCTTGGGTTTGCTCCTTCTACTGCTGACCCGTCGCTGTTTCTGCGCACCGACACTTCACTGCCGCCGTTCTACATCCTCGTGTACGTCGACGACTTGGTCTTTGCCACAGCGGACACTGCTGGACTCGCCCACGTGAAGTCCGAACTGCTGAAGAGACACACGTGCACAGACCTGGGTGAACTGCGCAGCTACCTTGGCTTGCAGATCACTCGGGACAGAGCACGCCGCACCATTACCTTGACTCAGTCACACATGGTGCAGCAGGTCCTTCAGCGGTTCGGACTTCACGTACTCCTCGCCTCAGGCCACTCCTCTGCCTACTCGCCACTCACTCTCAGCTCTGCCTTCGGATGAGTCCGTAGAGTCGAGTGGTCCGTATGCAGAGCTTGTTGGCTGCCTCATGTACCTGATGACCTGCACACGACCTGACCTTGCATATCCTCTGAGCATTCTTGCACGCTATGTTGCTCCTGGGAGACACAGACCAGAGCACATGGCTGCAGCGAAGAGGGTATTGCGCTACCTGTGCAGTACGTCGGGCATGGGGCTTGTGCTTGGAGGGCGGAGTCCAGTGGTCCTTACCGGCCACGCGGACGCTTCTTGGGCTGACGACCAGGCTACGCAGCGGTCGTCACAGGGTTACACCTTCAGCCTTGGTTCCGGCTCTGTCTCGTGGCGGTCTACTCGCTCGTCTTCAGTTCTCGGCTCCAGTTGTGAGGCTGAGATCTACGCCGGGGCCATGGCTGCACAGGAGCTTCGCTGGCTCACCTACCTGCTGACTGACCTTGGAGAGCCGCCTCGTTCTCCTCCAGTGCTGTACGTAGACAACAAGGCCATGCTGGCCTTGTGTCGAGAGCAGCGCTTGGAGCACAGAACGAAGCACATTGCTCTCCGCTACTTCCTTGCTCGTGAGCTGCAGCAGCGTGGTCAGTTGCGACTTGCGTACGTGGCCTCTGAGGCCAACACTGCTGATGTGTTCACCAAGGCACTCGCGCCTTGTGATCATCAGCGCTTTTGCACCCAGCTGGGTCTTGTGTCTGTCTTGCCTCACTTGCTCTCCTCTTGACTTCACTTGTACTGTGACATATATATATACCTGCTCTTGCTTGTCTAGTTTTATATATATGTCTGTACTCCTGCATGTGAACTGGCCTCTGGCCCTGCTCTTGTGCTCGGACTGTGTGGTGACTTTGTGATCCACCCTGAGCTTGCTTTGCTTTGCTTGACTGGTCTTGTGACCCCTTGTTCTCCCCCACTTTGCCTATGGGGGTGTGTCAAACATTATATATGTTATGCTTGTGTAGGCTACAGTGGGTTAGCCTATAGGGGGTACACAATTCTAGGGTTTCCTACTTGTACTCATTTCACTGCTAGTTCATTCATTCCCTGTTCGCTTATTCTCACAGGGTTGACAAGGAACTGAATGAAAAAATAAGAGAAGAGGGTGAAGAAATGGGCAACGACGGTGACCCCTGCTGTGTGACGGCTCGGGTTCCTCGTCGATGACAGGCAGGAAACCCCCGCCCACTCCCGTAGAGGCGCCTGCGTGGCAGCATCTACGCTGCGCTGGCAGAGAATCTTGCCGAACCTTCGAGATGGTTCTGCCCGAATGCACATGCCTCGCAGCGCATGCGGCTCTGATTGGGCCGCACGACAACATCATCGTCACGGCTGTCACATTCTATGTTTCCAGACAACATTGTGCGGTGGTAAACCGAACCGCTGCGGTTTCTGCCTGAAAACCATGCACGATCCCACTTGGTGCATGGTCGGTTGAATTCGCCTTATTGAGAGCTTCACAATGGTGTGTTCAAAATTGATTTTCATTTTTCCCTTTATACAAGCGCATGCGCTTATAAATCTGACTCAATTATAAGCGCACCCCCCCAAAAAACAATGTTTTATTATAAGCGCAGGTGCGCTTCTATCCGGGGTATTACGGTATTGAGTTGGCGAAATAGGCGAAGAAGTTACTGAGTAATTGAAGAAGAGTTGAATGAGAAATGGTTGATATTGGTGGATACAAGCAAGGATGATAAAGCATGCAAGGTCGAATGTCGGAAAGTACTTCGTGGGACTAGAAAGTAGATCAAGTAGAGTGCCACGTGGCACTAGGAAATCTAGGAAGATAAGGATAAGGGTGAGTTGGAAAGTACTGTTCGGAATGAACAGTAAACCCCCCCTTAACACTGATACCGTAAATGACTTCACCTCCTTCCTTATCCGGCCGTGTAGCGGGTTGCAAGGTGTCGTCATTTGGACGCATGGTGACTCAGTACAACACCCATTCTGTAACAGGGGCTGTCCTGAAAAACCCTGATATCCAAGGTAATCGTCCCCTCCCTCGATCGATCCTGCTTGTGACTTTTATTCTGGTTAACGTCTTGCTGCCCGGGGGCTTCCCATTCAGAAGCACGTCTGCACTTCATATTCGTCGCTTTCCATCCATCTCCAGTAATTTCGGGGTGTACTGTATAGTACCAGTACCCCTGTTTCCAGCTAGAAACTGAACAAGTGTTGCAGTTGAACGTATAGACCGGGACACGACTTAATGCACAAGAGCAAGTGAAGCATTTGAAACAAGTAAGCTTGTATCGATCTGATGTACAGTATCGTGGGGCAAGCAACCAAGGGACAGCAGAAGCTGCTTTGGGTGCAGGCAGAGGGAGATAGTTCTCCGACGGTAGAGATATTGCTTGGAAGCATGTATAGCAAAGGCTTCTGCCAGGCACAAAGCGGGGGGGCAGAGAGCACCGCAAGGGAGGATATATAAGGGGTGGAAGGTAGAGCGGCAAGGAAACAGGGGTTTCTGGGAGGCTTTGTGAAGGCGCCACAAAAATAAGCAAGGGCGGAAGGTAGAGCGGCAGGATATCAGGGCCGCCTGAGAGCCCAGGGTGGAACCAGAGAGGCCTGAGGGGGGAAGGATTATCCAGAGGGACAGAGGGGCGGTGCAAGGGCGGGGTGGGGTAGGGAAGGTAGGAGGTGAGGCAGTCGCAGTGAGCCACCACTGGGGGAGGAGGCTGCCCCAGGGGAAGGGTTGCGGGCGGCGTCGTATGGGGAAGGGGCACGAGCACGGGAGGGGAAGAGGGGGGGCATCTGAGGGAGTGGGTGAGGGGTATGACACGAGCCGAGGCATTAAGCGACATAAAAAACAGGGCAGAAAGGCTGGACAAGCAAACGGGGCGATAGTCCGAGCGTGCAGGCACGAGAGGCAGGTTGAAACCAAGGGCCGCGAGGCACAGGGGATGGGGGGGGAGGTCAAGCAGGCATTTGCAAGAGCAGTGACCAGGGCGGTCCAAGAGAGCTGACTGGGAACCCGAGGTGCTTCCCTAGTCACGAAGCGCAACACAAACAACATCAAGTGCGAGGATGTGAACGCAAAGGCGGTGGCCACAGCGATTCACGGTAGACTGGGCGCCTAATCGGCGTTCCGAGTCAGGGGTAGACTGGGCGCCTAATTGGCAGCCCGAGTCCGAAGGTAAGGCACATACGGAGAGGAATAAAGGCCAGGTGGGGAGCATCAACGCGAAATAGAGAGAGACATGGCGGAAACAAAGGGAAGTTATGAAGCCATGTGGCTTAAAAAAACGGCAGAGCGGGGAACGACTGAGAGAGGCAGGAGGGTGTGCGGCATCACTTACCTGTAAGTATGCGAGGGTGAGGTAGCACAAACAGGCTTGAGGTTGCCACCGCTGCCAAAAGTACAAAAAGGGTGACGGTGAGATGTTAACCGCGCGGAAGCACGGCGCGCGCAGACCCGGGTCGCGCAGTTCAGAGGCGGCGCGCGGGCCGGAGTCACTGCGTGGAAGATAGCATGCGTGTCGGAGGAGGAAGCGGGGTGTGCGTAAACGGGGGGGGGAGCGCCAATAAACAGAGCCAGCGGTAAAAAAACAGGCGTTGCCATATGTACGCGAGAACGAGCGGGGGGAGAGCAACGAAAAACGACGCGGTTGCGCAGTGCCAAGTTGCTGGCGGAGGCGGGGGGTTATCCGTTGGCAGCGGCGCGGGAGCCGTAGGGTGCGGCCAGCAGTGCTGAGCTGTCCCTGGGCGCCAGCGCGGCGTTAGCGAGGTTCCTCGCGGCCATCGCGAGCGCGGGAGGTCGAGGCGAGGAGAGGCGAACGGTGTCTACCGGGCCGTCGAGCGGAAGTAGCCGTGAGAGCTAAAAAAAGAGAAGCGTAAATCGAAATTGGAGGGGGAAACGCGAGGGATGCTAAGATGGGGTGTGTTTTGAGACGGTGGGGTCGCGACCTTTTCCTTGCATGTCGGCGCGTTGTTAGCACAGGAGATCGAGGTGAGCAAGGTGAGCAAGAGCGAAAGCAGGCCGAGGAGGAAAACCGACTTACCTGGCGCCGAGACGATGTCGAGTGAGAGGAACCAGTCTAATCGGCAGCGATTTCACAGTCGTCCGGTGTAGCAGGAAGGTAAGCTGGGGCCGCTGTTGATCGCGCTAGAATGGTGGACTAGGGTAGCATGCATGAGTACAAGTGTTGTACCCCTTGTAGGCTAACCCACTATAGCCTAGAGAGAACACAAACATACAGTTTGACACACCCCCATAGGCTAAGTGGGAGATAGCAAACACAACAGACGGTCATAAGACCAGTCAAGCAAGAGAACAAAGCAAAGCAAAGCAAAGCTCAGGGTGGATCTCAAGGACACCACACAATCTGTGCAAAAGCAAGCGGCCACAAGGCCAGTTCACATGCAGAGTTATAATAGCAAAACAGTACACTGATCACAACCTAGGAAAAGCAAACAAGCAGGTATAAAGATATATATCAGTGTACAACAAGAGCAAGTCAAGCAACCAGCAGGTGAGGCAGAGTGGGCACAAGCCCAAGAGCAATGCAGAAACGCTGATGATCACCAGCCCCAAGGGCCTTGGTGAAGATATCAGCAATGTTGGCCCGAGAGGCCACGAAAGCAAGGCGCAAATGACCACGCTGCTGCAGCTCACGCGCAAGGAAGTAGCGAAGAGCAATGTGCTTCGTTCGGTGCTCCAGTCTCTGCTCGCGACACAAGGCAAGCATTGCCTTATTGTCGACGTACAGAACTGGAGGAGAACGAGGCCGCTCCCCCAAATCGGTCAGCAGGTAGGTCAGCTAGCGGAGCTCCTGTGCAGCCATGGCCCCTGCGTAGAACTCGGCCTCATAGCTGGAACCAAGCACAGAGGAAAAACGAGTGGACCTCCACGAGAAAGAACCAGCGCCAAGACTGAAGGTGTAGCCCTGTGACGAACGCTGAGTCGCCTGATCGTCGGCCCAAGAAGCGTCAGAGTGTCCTGTGAGGACCACTGAACCTCGTCCTCCAAGCACGAGCCCCATGCCCGATGTGCTGCACAAGTAACGCAATACCCTCTTCGCAGCATCAAAGTGCACCTTTCGGTGTCGACCAGGTGCCACGTAGCGAGCCAAGAGACTGAGAGGGTACGCAAGGTCAGGTCGAGTGCACGTCATCAGGTACATGAGGCAACCCACAAGCTCTGGGTATGGACCACTCAGCTCTACGGACTCGTCCGGAGGTGGAGCTGAGAGCGAGTGGCCGGTAGCCAGAGGAGTGGGCTGTGGCGAGGACCACGTGAAGCGGAAGCGGCGAAGGACCTGGTGCACCATGTGTGACTGAGTCAGGGTGATGGTGCGCCGTGCTCTGTCCCGGGTGATTTGCAAGCCAAGATAGCTCCGCAGCTCACCCGGGTCAGTGCAGGTGTGTCTCTCCTGCAGCTCCGCCTTCACTAGGATCAGTGCCTCAGTGTCAGCAGTAGCAAATACCAAGTCGTCGATGTACACGAGGATGTAGAACGGCGGCAGAGTAGTGTCGGTGCGTAGAAACAGCGACGGGTCAGCAGTCGAAGGAGCAAACCCAAGAGCCGCAATTGTCGTCCTCAATGTGTCGTGCCACTCGCGGGGCGCCTGACGCAGGCCGTACACTGGTCGCTGTAGGCTCCACTGGGTACCCTCAGGAAACGACCCAGTGAAGCCCTGAGGATGGCGCAGCCAAATGGCCTCATGAAGGCTACCCTGCAAGAAAGCTGTCGAGAAGTCGAGGGAGTGCAGCTCGTAGTCACGCTGAGCTGCAACGTGTAGCAACACCCGAAGAGTGGTCATCTTTGGGGTGGGGGAGAAGGTCTGAAAAAAGGCGACCCCCTCACGCTGATTGAAGCCTCGAGCAACGTAACGTGCCTTGAAGGCAGGCGGAGAACCCGGCGGCCGCTTCACCCTGAAAATCCACATGCCACTGACGATGTTCGCCCCAGGTGGGGAAACCTCGTCGACGTAGGTGCCTGTGGACTTCTAGGAAGCCATCTCTGTGTCCATGGCTGTCTCCCAGTGAGAGGACTACTCACCCAAAATCGCCTCCCTGTAGGAGCGCGGGGTGGGGATGTCAAGTGCATCCGGGTCTCCCTTAGGGGCAAGCAGCATGGTCGCGTGATGGGGTGAAGCGACCGCAAGGCACTCTAGCTCCTCCTGTGTGTCCTCAAGAACGTCACAGCCAAGGGCAGTCTCACCCCCGACGGACGGAGGACAGGCAGGGTCAGGGTCAGAGACAAGACTCGCAAGGTAGTCTAGGCGGTACACATCAGCAAAGTCAACGAGCTCAGCGACTAAGGAAGACGCAGCAGAAGACGAGAACGTAGGGTCTGTAACAACTGTAGTAAGGAAGCGAGTAACAGTCGGACTGGACGCACGAGCAAGGTGAGACGGAGGGTCAGCAACGTCAGGAAGAGAGGACGCACGAGGTAACGGTAGGACAATACGCTGTGGAACAGAGGAAGGACGGAGTGTCATATCGTGAGTGCCGGGGACAGCCGGAGCACGCGGACGACGATTACGAGGAACATGAGCACGAACAGCAGCGCTAGGCTCAGGCTCAAGGTCAAAGCTAGACTTAGGCTCTCGACACTCAGGGGTGGAAGCACGAGTCTCAGGCTCTCGACGCTCAGTCAGGGACCGTGTCACCGCAGTGTAAGGAGCAGGAGCAGGCAGTGGGGGGTGCGGTAGCAGCGGCGGCTATGACTGGTCCGCTGGTGGAAACAGCAATGGGGGTGTAGTACCTGCCACAGGGAAGTCTGTAGCACAGGGCGGAAGACTGAGAAGGTGGCGAAGAGCACCAGCAGCTCCCGTACCTCCAGCACGAGCAGCTCCTCCAGTACCCCCGGCAACACCTCCAGCACCGGTAGCACCAGCACCTCCAGCACCACGAGCTCCGACAGCGCCAGCACCTCGAGCACCAGTAGTACCTCCAGCACCTCCAGTGCCTCCTTTTCCAGCTCCAGCGCCTCCAGCACCAGTAGTACCTCCAGTACCTCCCGTGCCAGCAGCTCCAGTAGCACCTCCAGTACCTCCAACACCAGCAGCACCACCTGCTCCGGCACCTCCAGTACGAGCACCTCCGGGACTAGTAGCTCCAGCACCTCCAGTACCTCCAGCTCCAACGCCTCCAGCACCAGCAGCACCAGCACCTCCAGGGTCAGCAGCTCCCGCAACTCCAGCACCTCCAGTGCCAGCAACTCCAGCACCCCCAGCACCTCCAATAACAGTAGTACCTCCCGCACCAACAGCTCTAGTACCTCCAGCACCGGCAGTACCTCCAGTACTAGCAACTCCAGTACCTCCAGCACCAGCAGTAGCTCTAGTACCCCCAGCACTAGCAGCACCTCCAGCACTTCTAAGCCTAGTAGCTCCAGTACCTCCAGCACTCGTAGCACCTCTAGTACGTCCAGTAGTGCCTCCAGCACCTCCAGCACCAGCAGCACCTCCTGGACTAGTAGCTCCAGCACCAGCAGGACTGTACCCTCCACCACCAGGACTGCCTTGCCGAACGACTCACGAACGAATCGCCTGCGGCGAGAGCGTCTCAAGTAGAGCAGGCTGCGGTGGCTGTCCAGCTCCAGTACCTCTAGCTCCTGGACCTCCAGAAGGACTCGCAGCACCCCCAGAGTCAGCACTCGCGCTATCCAGCTCCAGTACCTCCAGCTCCTGGACCTCTAGAAGGACTCGCAGCACCCCCAGAGTCAGCACTCGAAGTCTCAACACCTCCAGAGTCAGCACCCAAAGTTTCAGTACCCTCAGTCCCAGCACCCGCAGGCTCAGTGCCCTCAATCCCAGCACCCGCAGGCTCAGTACTCTCAGACCCGGCAGCCACAGGCTCAGTACCCTTAGTCCCTGCACCCTCAGTCTCAGCTCTAGTGTCCACTGGAGAAGGCTGCAGAGGCGGGAAACCGGGAGGATAGCCAAACGAGGAGAGCAGTCACCCCTAGATGTACCACTCCCAGGCCCAGTTCCAGTAGCCTCAGCTCCAGAGTCCATAGTAGCAGGCTGCGGAGGTGGCGAAGACGGCCGAGGCGGGAAACCCGGAGGGGTCTCCAAGCGAGGAGTGCGGCGAGTGGTCGCCGTGTCGTCGGCGGCGGTGTCACCCCCCTCAGCTGGGTCAGAGGAGTCAGAAGAGATCTCCACTGGTTCATCCAAGGGGGGTGGGTCTACCTGAGACACACCTGAGGGAGCAGAACCCTGTGGGGGAAGGGGGACTACCGGGAGGGGGGACTGGTACCAAGAAGAGAGGCGCGAGGGGGACCGTATGAGACGTGTGTGGGTGAAGTCGGTAGTAACAGACCGACTCGTCGAAGGTGACGTCCTGAGAGGACAGAACACGACGCGAGGCAGGGTGGTAGAACTACCAGGGCGGGGCGTCGGTGGGGAAGCCCATGAAGACACAGCGGAGAGTGCGAGGAGAGAGCTTGCTCGCTTTGGTATCGCGAACAAGGGAGAGCGCGCCCCAGACCCGAAACGACGACGCATCACCAGGCTGTCCCGTCAAACGGAGTGTGGGTGAGGTCTCTGGAGCAGAGACATGGGGCCAGAGGTTGAGTTGATGCGCGGCGTATCGGACCGCAAACGGCCACACGAAATGGGGAGCAGCCGCATGGATCATGGAGGTACGAGCAACCTCCATGATCAGGCCAATGCGACGCTCAACGATCCCATTTTGCTGCGGAGAGGCCGGAAGCGTGAACGACTGGGCGATGCCCTCGTCCTGACAGAACGTCTCAAGGACGCCAGAGGAGAACTCACCGCCCCTGTCAGAGTGCAGACGCAGGACTAGGAAGTCTTGCTGAAAACGCTCTAGCACGGATCCAGGGGATCAAAACACCGCTGATGTCCGGCTTGCGCCGCAAGGGGAAGACGGTGGTGTAGCGTGTGTAGTCGTCAACAACCAGCAGGAAGTAGCGCTCCTGGTCCGTTCCACCGACTGGGGCCGGGCCCCACACGTCCAGGTGGAGAGTCTGCAGAGGAGCAGTGGTCGGAGGAAACTCGGAGGAGTGAGGAGCGGCGTGCTGCCGCCCCTCGACGCAAGGAAGGCACGGCGGGGCAAGCGAGCGCGGCAGGGGGGGCAGGGTCCTGGGGAGGCCAGAGACAAGGAGACGGGAGGCCAGAGACAAGGAGACGGGAGTGCATACTGCGTAGACGCAGCAAGGAGGGGTGACCAAGACGGTGGCACCAGCGCTGAGTCTCGTGCGTGAGTACTCTGCATGAGCAAGATGCAGCTAACTGTCCCGACGCAGACGCCCAACTCGACGCAGCCACCTGACCTGACTCAG